TGAACAGAATTCAATGCCGAACTGCAATAAAGCAAAATCCCGAGGGAAAGAAAAGTGTTAACTAAGATGTTTGTTAACTTTCTTGCCTGGAAGTTGCAAACTCAGTTGGAATTGAGGAGGAAAGTCTGCAGCTTTGCTCGCCTTAAGGCTGTGTTTCTAGACTAAAGTCTGGTTCAGGACTAGAAGTGAATCAAGTGAAAATGTATCAGATTGTGAAATGGGAGCGCCATGAAAGGGCTGACAGAGATCCCCACACATTCCTAGCTGAGTGCTGACGTGCATGTGCAACCAGAGAGAGCCTGCTAAGTTTAAGTCAAGGGAGAAGTGAAAACTGGTGACAACCTCAAATGCATTCTGTGTTCCTCAATCGATACACAGCTCAGCTGGCAGAGGGGGGAAGCCCGACAGTCTGCATGGGTCTGAGCACAACCTCTGCCCAAGCACCGACCCATCACTACATGTTTCAGAGACCAGGAGAACCCAAAGAAGTCAGGTAAAAATAATGAATTAATAAATAATTTAATTTAATATTAAATATTAATTAACTGATTGATAATTAAAGATAAAAATAAAGTAACTGGGTACAGACATAAGCATTTGTACACTCTAGGAGAGACAAATTCCATAGCTTAATTTCAGGTAAGATAAAGCTACTAAAACAAACAACTCTAAGAAAAGTAAAACAGAAGCTAGACTTGTGAAATATATCACCTATAATGTCCGGTCGCTAACAAACATTTACTAGACATGCAAATCTGACAAAATTTGAGCATGAAATAAGTTATATAACCTATTAAATGAAGTGGGAAACCGTGAATTCAAGCTCACATAAATGAATAAAGACAAAGTTTAAGACAGGTGTGTCCAACACGCAGCCCAGGATGGCTGAGAATGAGGCCCAGAACAAAATTATAAACTTCCTGAAACATTATGAACTTCTTGGTGATGTTTTTGGGGGGTGGAATTTGATTGGGTGATTCTTGAGCATGAGCTTTGTAGACAACAGCATCATGTCCCAATGTCACGGAAAAGAAACATACTTACACTCTTGCTATTCACATGCATGACTTAGTTTTACAGCACAGCACAGCTCCCAGGGTGTTATCTTTTAAGCACAGACAGTCAAATTGGACCATTAGACATTTCATGAGCTTGTGGCGACTTGGCAAGGTAGTGATTATTAATAATACTTCAACCTAGTACTGCAGTGTTACCCATTTAGAAGTCAGGTAAGCATTCTTACTCGATCATTGAAGGCAACCCTCACTCAGCAGTGCCTCACACTTCACCCACCAGACTTTATAACTTTATCAACCTGCATCGGCACCCAAGATATGGAAGGACCCAAGGCTTGCTTTCTATTTTCTTGTTGACTAATTTTCACAATAACACTAAATATAGACCCTTATCTATATTATTTTTAATTCCAACATGGCTCTGCAATGTCACAGAAGAAAATAGAACCTCGAAAAACTATGTGTAAAGAAAGATTATCCAGTGAAAACTGGATAGATGACTACTTTTTTTGTGAAAGTAAATAGTAAGGCACTCTGCTTAATTTGTTGGAAATTTGTCCAAGTTTTCAACGACTATAATTTGAAAAGCCATTTTATGCAAAAACATGGTGCCAAATTTGATGCTTATGAAGGATCGTGCCATAAGGACAAAATAGCAGAACTGAAAAAAAGGTCTGTCTTCTCAACCAAAAAAATTTTTTAAGTTACAACTCAGGTGGATTCTATTGTAAAAGCTAGCGATATGGTAGCATATTTAATAGCAAAAAAAAAAAAATCAGAACCATTTATTGACGGTGAATTTGTTAAGCAAGGTAGGAAAAGCATGGCAGATATTATTTGCCCTGACGAAAAGGGATATATTTCCGAAGTTAGTTTGTCTCACCAGACTATAGCCAGGTGAAGTGAAGAAATTGAATAATCTATTAAAAAACATTTGGAAGGTAAAGCTGCTAATTTTATACTTTCATGATGAATGACAGTACTAATACTACAGATATGGCTCAACTCCCATTCTTATTTGCAGTATTGATCATTGTAGTCACTGAAGAAATGACTTCTTTAGTACCATTAAAAGACACAACTATTTTGAGAAATTTATATGAAGCAGCAAAAAGGTATGATCAGGCAATTTTCTCTGCCCGTTGTCAATATATCTGGGATAGCTACCGATGGCACCCCGCTAATGATACATAACAGAGAAGGAATTGTAAATTTAATAGAAGACTATACAGTTGCCGCCCAAATTCATGTTTAATGAAGTAAAAAAAATCATGCACAAAAGCTTTAAAAATGGATAACACCATGCAAATCGTCATCAAGACTGTGAATTTCATAAAGGCCAAAGGATTGAATCATCGCCAATTCCAGAAATTCCTTCAAAGTATTGATGCTTGACTATCGTGACTTCGTTTACTTTTTGGAAGTAAGATGGCTAAGTTGAGGCCAAATGTTGAAAAGATTTTATGATTTGCAACATGTTATCAAGTCGTTTATGATGTTAAAAACCAGATTTGTGCCAGAACGTGTGGATGAAAATTGGTTTACAGATACAACATTTTTAGTAGATTTAACCACTCTTTTAACTAAGTTACACATGTCCTCATGGTGAAAACTAACTTATCAATACAATGTTTCAAACCATCACAGTGTTACAAATGAAAATGAAATTATGAAAACTTCAAAATAAGGCAAATAATTGTATGCATTTCAACACTTCCGCTAACCACAGTCCTGAGAACGGTGAAAAACATGCAGCCGTGCTTTTTGATTTGATAAAAGAATTTAAAAATAGGTTTCAAGATTTCTAGGAAAATAATCCATTTTGGTGCATTTGTGACATCATTTTTAGTCGACATAAATATATTACCTGGCAATATATTTATATAATTATATTATCTTCCCAGAGACAAAGTTCCCTCACTTCATAATCACACCATATTCATGTCATTGCTTTTTAGTAGCATGTAATTTCAAGAAAATAGCAACTATTTTCAAGAATGAAGCACATTAAGGGTACAATTCGAACCAAAGTATCTGATGAGCACCTTGCAAACTCCCTGAGAATTTAAACTACTTCCACCAACCCACATATTGAAGCATTAGTTTCTCAAATACAGTGTCAAATATGCCACTAGTTTTATATGGCCCACTTTTCTCTTACTTTTATAATTAGAAATATAAAAAAAACCCAAAGGTGTTTTATTATCTAGATGTGTACAGTTTCTACATTAGTGATCACAAACTGAAGACCAGCTGGATGATTTTAAAAGACTCTTTGAATGTTTGCGGCATAATTAGGATTATTTGAGGACTTTTTGCTTACCTGTAGTGGCAGATAGCACAAAAATTATGCATGGACCTTTCTTTGGTTTGTTCATCAGCTTTTGTTAGTTTTGTGCATTTAGTGTGTGGATCAAGAGAACTCTTCTCCAGTGTGGACTATAAAACCCAAAAGGTTGGACACACCTACTACAAAGGATGTCATAAGAAAATTTGGGAAAATGTGAATGAAATGTGAGACTTATACAGTAGTATTATATCAATATGAATCTCCTGACTTAGATGGTCATATGTGGCTATAAAGGAGAAATGTTCTCGTTTGGAGAAAATACAAAAGTCTTAAGGAGTGCTACAACATAAGGTCAGCTATTCTCTTTCACAAAAGGTTCAGAAAATAATTATTTCTACTGAAAATACAAGTTTTCGCTATGTTTGAGATTATTTCAAAATTAAAACTAAACAAAATTAGGAAGCAACCCAACTCTTCTTCTTCAGCTCTTGAATATATACTTCTGTGGCAGAATAATATCCTTCTCCCCCTCAAGGACGTCTACCTAGAAATGCCCAGAATCTGGCAATATGTTATTTCACAAAGCAACAGGGAATTAAAGTTGTGATTAGATTAGGGGTTTTGAGGTGGGAGGTTATTGTGGCCCTTCCAAGCAAACTGAATGTAATCATAAGCATTCTTAAAAAGAAAGGCAGAGACGGATATTTGAGGACAGAAGCCGAGATCGGAGTGATATGGTTGCTGGGGGTTAGACGTCAAAGATTGTGGCTAGCATCTAGAGTGTAGAAAAGGCAAGGAAGGAAAAATGTGCCCCTAGAGCTTCCCGAAAGGAATACATCCTGCCAACATCTTGATTTTAACCCCCTGAGATCCATTTTGTACTTCTGACCTCCAGAACTGTAAGATAATTGATGTGTGGTACTTTAAGTCACCAAATTTGTGGTAATATGTTATAGCAACAACAGCAAATGAATACAACTCCTTAGGAAATAAACACAAGATTCCATCTTTTAAAACAAAGAGGTGATTACCTAAACCTAAGTAAGATTCATTTAAATCTCAGAAAAGACTGCATGATAGAATTTTTTTCCCTTTTAGCTGGTAAAAGAATGTTTTATGGGGAGAGGCCTGATTTCTGGCAAATGTACTTGGGTAAGCACATTGCCAAGTGAGATGCACACTGTGAACTGATTAGTCTCTTGCAAGTTTCACTGGCAAGAGGAAAACAACTGTGCATAACAAAAGAGACCAAGGAGGGGGTGCGGTACTGAGCTGCTGTGGGACAGTTAGAGGACAGAGGGGTCTGGAATGCAGGGACAGGGCAGAGTCCATTTCCCTGAGCTGTGAATGTAATGCCAGGAGCTTCATGTTGTGGCTCTCTTCCCATCATTAGTCAGCTTTTTATTGAGGGCAGTAAACAATCTCAAAGACCTCGATAGCTTAACAAACATTTATTCCTTAAATGATAGGTATTGACTTGGCACTGCTGAGCCTGGCTGGGCTCCTGCTATCAGCTAGGCTTGGTTCAGATCTCTACCATGTGTGTCTCCTATCTAAGCTTTCTCTTCTCGGGAAAGACACTAAAAGTGCAAAAGGGTGATGGGCTTCTGCTAGAAAACAAAAACCGCATCCTGCCACTTCCAACCACCCCCCAAAATTAGGAAAACACGCCCTATCTTTTGTTTGACACAGACCTATGTCAAAACATATGGTTTGGCCCCCCTTGCTCCTTCCAAGAAGGTGTTCAAAGTCTGCACAACTTTGTGCCATAACCCTAAATTGGCAAGGGGACGAAAGAGAATTGAAGTTTGAGGACTTTGTCATTGAAGAAGTATATTCTTCCAAGCTTACCACATGAGTTGAAAAAGTAGTCTGCTTATACGATTGCTTACAAGAAGTTTAAATGTTTACCTAAAGTTGAGTATGTATTAAATAGTTTTTTCTGGCTCAGCACCTGTAGCTCAGTGGCTAGGGCGCCAGCCACATACAGCAGGGCTGGCAAGTTCGAACCCAGCCTGGGCCTGCCAAAACAACAATGACAACTATATCCAAAAAATAGTGTGGTGGGTGCCTGTAGTCCCAGCTACTTGGGAGTCTGAGGCAGGAGAATCACTTAAGTCCAAGAGTTTGAGATTGCTGTGAGCTGTGACTCCATAGCACTCTACTGAGGGTGACATAGTGAGACTCTGTTGCAAAAAAAGGGAGTTTTTCCTGTTGTCAACTTTCTTAAAGGAAAAGTAAGTGTTCTGTTTTAGGTATTACCAGACACTTTGGAAAGTAATTCACAATCTGACAATATTCTGACAGTTGGAATACTGGAGAGAATTTCACAAAAATATTCCTAGAGATGTTACAGTAATAAGGAACTAAGCTGGCAATTAACCCAGGTCAATATCTGTGCCCTCTCTTTGTACTACAACATACCTTCTTAGAATATACATTCCCCAATAGGGAGTCAACAGAAATTCAGTTATAATATACACAAAGTTCTTTATCTGCCTCACCTAACTTCTCATTAGATGTCTAATGTAACAATTTTACCTAATCTTCAAGACCTGATTCAAATCTCATCTCCTTCCCCAGTCTTAACCTGGTGGTGACTTCAACAAATGACCTCTCTTTCCCCTCTAATTTTCACAAGTTTTGTCTCTGCCTCGATTACAGATTAATTTTTTTTATCATTGTTGAGTAATTTTTGATTGAAAGACACAGAGAAACCCTACTAATCCTCCAATCCCAGCCAAAGAGTACATTTATACGTGAAGTCATCCTGACCTTCCCAAATCTGCTTTAGGTAATTTATCACTCCCTCCTCCCCCTCGGCTAATGATAAAGGTACACTATACATATTCTAAATCTCATTTACTCACATAGTTGAGAAGGGCTGGGATGGGGGAGAGTAGACATTAGTGAGATCACTGAGGGCAGAGAATATAAAAATATCTTTTTCCAACTTTGCTCCCCAGGATATAACATAGAATCCAAATTAGGGTTCTTGGCCTCAACACCATAGTTGGGCTAGATAGTTGCTTGTGAGGGCTCTCCTGTGCATGATAATATTTAGCAGTATTCCTCTTCAGTTTTGACAACCAAAAATTTCTCTAGACATTGTTAAATATCCCCGGTGGTGGGTGGAAGGGGGGAGTCTCCCAATTAAGAATCACTGATTGAAACCATAGTTGAAAATGTTTGCTAACTTAATGTCAGGAATCATCAGCTTTTCCCCCTCTATTTTAGCTCTTCCATATCATCTAACAACTAGAAAGGAGTTAAACATATTTAAATGAATGAGTGGCATTAAAAGTAGAGTATAAACATCTCACCACCACAAATTAATGAGGTGTTAGTTATGTTAACGAGTTTGATGTAAGCTTCCCACATTGTATATCAAATTATCACATTGTACCCCCTAAATGCATTAATGTACAGGTATGATTTAATAAAAAATTATTTTAAAGTAAAATAAAATAACAAAAAAATTTCAAATCATGCTAAAATCATCCCTTTGACCCATTAAAAATAGAGTTTACAAGGATGATAGATATTCATCCTTGCATGACAGAGATGGTGTGGTATGTTGGTTAATGGCACAAATTTTGGCATTAAACTGGCTAAGTTCAAATTCACAAGACACGAGTTTATATCCCATTTCCAGCTGCCTATCTCATTAACCTTGACCAAGTCACTGAACCATGCTGTACCACAAAGTCCTCAAATTAAAATGAAGATATGAGTATTTTCTACCTCAAAAGGACTTTGTGAAGAGCATATGTGAAGATGTATAAAGTTCTCAACTTTACAACAGTGCCTGACAAGTATCAGTTATTATATGAATTCAGTGAACTGAGTGTCTACCATGCACCAGGCATTTTCCTAGCGGTCGGGGACATAAGGCTCACACTCTCATAGAGCTTGCATTCCAGCAGCCTGAGAAGAGCGGAGCAGAGAGTAATGCACTGAGGTCCCCTGAGGAGGAGCTGTCCTAGACAACAGTTAGAGGAAGGGTCTATAGGGGAGTCCTAAAGCTAGATTTTGCTTCATGTGTTTATGCTACAGCAGGAGCTCAGTGGAAAGCAAGCATATGGCGCACTGTACTTTTACAAAGAAAATGTAAAATTGTACATTTTACATTCTGAGAGGAATGTAAAAAAAGATAAACAAATTTTAAAATACAACAAAAAATACCCAAAATTGAACAAAGGTTTTATTTGGGTAATGAGACTATGGATGATGCCTTTACTTTTTCTCTCTTCTATAATATCCAAGTATCCTGAATAGGTATTGAAGTACTGTAGTATTACTGAGAATGTCAAGTCTTTATCAATCAAAGTACTTGTAAGTAAAAGAGAATTTTGATTTGAAAGGATAATTTGTAATTTTTCCTCCATTTTGTAGCTGAAATGTTAGTATTTTTATTTAAATATTCCAATGCATGTCTAACACTGTTTATTCCTGCTATTATCTTATTCAATATTTTAACTACACATTTTTCTCTACCTATCACAAATTGTGTCTTTTCAACTGATGGTTCATGACACAGATGTTTATCTTTCGATATTTCTTCATGTCTTCTAAGGTGAAAAATATTGTTCTCCATTTAACAAACTTTTCTTCAAATGAGTGGTCAGCAAAATGCTATGTTAGTTCAGTTAACAGCTCTTTCAAAATATACTTTTTAAATCCAAGGAAGCAGCAAAGGATTTGTAGAAATGGGTTACACATCTAGAAAACAAGTGATATTTGTAATGTCTTCATTTGCGTCTAAATATTTTCACTGCTAAGTATCTCGTAGTCTTCATTGATGTCTAAACATTTTCACCCCTAAGTATATTTCTTCAAGTCTACATGTCAGCTACAACACATTCATCATTTAGCATTAATACTTCTGAATTTTATAATAATTTTTATAAAAGTGATTACGTTGTCCCCTTTGAATCTAAAGGAAATACTACATACAACTTTTTAAGTTTACTATCTTTTGCTGTGTCTTTTTCTAATTTTCTTGATGTAATGTTTCTATTATGCTTTAAAACATAAGAAGATTCACATTTTAACACTTCCCTAGGAACTGGCAGCAGAGACTGCCAGGATAAAATTATAGGGAGTGGTTTTAAATGTTTACCCTCAGGAGACACGCAAAATGTAGGAGTAACGTTTCTGTAGTTTCTATTACTATAGGTCCCTGAAGAAATGCAGTGTAAATTATAGAAATTCTTTACTTTTCACAACTGTGTAGACATTTTAAAAAGAGAAGAGTAGCAGAGGAAGAAATAAGAGTCTAGATTAAGAGGAATTCAGGAAAATTCTCTTTTAAGTTTATCCACCTGTAGTCAACAGGGCCAGGCGTCATTATAAACATCATGACTACCGACTGGGGTGATGGAGAAAGTTTGAAGAGCATTGCATTTCTGTGATCTGCCATTGCCTTCATGATCCCTCCACGTCCTATTTTTTTTCTTGTTTACATTGGTGAAGGAATGTGGTTGCTAGTGAGGATAGTTCTAGGAATTGTTCTTTCAGCCAACCAAAAAAAAAAGTCAGTGCAAGATATCTTCAGCAAAGAAAAGTCTATGTTGGCTAAGGCGCCAGCCATGTACACCTAAGGTGGCGGGTTCGAATCCCCAGCCCGGACCCGCCAAACAACAATGTCGGCTGCAACCAAAAAATAGCCGGGCGTTGTGGCGGGCGCCTGTGGTCCCAGCTACTTGGGAGGCAGAGGCAGGAGACTCGCTTGAGCCCAGGAGTTGGAGGTTGCTGTGAGCTGTAATGCCACAGCACTCTGCCCAGGTGGACAACTTGAGGCTGTGTCTCAAAAAAAAAAAAAAAAAAAAAAGTCTATGTTTTACAGACTTAAAATAATTATAGATTTTTTTGAAAATGAACACCAAAAATTATTTTCACTGATGCATTGTAAACTTAGTTCTTCACAAATAGTGTTACTTATTTTTAAATGTTATATAATGATTTGGTATATATCATACTAATACCAAATGTGCTTATTTCAAGTATTTTTATAATAAAATTAAAAGTTTTATGAGAGTTTTATATCTTTTAAAATGTCTATGTGAAAAATTATTTTTTATAAGTGGTCAAGAGACCATGGATAAAAAAGTTCTTAATCATTCAGTAGATCTTTGTGTTACACCTTTACATTGTTGGTCAATGAAGTGTCAGGACATTTTAATAATAATTCTTAAGAACGGTTCATAAAATTATCTGGCATTTCAAATTATAAGAAAATTTCAATTTCAGATGTGTTACTTAAGAAAGTTGTTTCCTTTCCTAAAAAAAAACAACCCAAAAGCAACAAGAATACTTGTTTGGTTAGTATTTGGTTACCATCTTGCTGTTCTTCTGTGTCACATGTAGTGGCCAAAGTTGGCTGTTCAATGTGAGATGTCTGTTTAACTTTATTCTTTGTTCCATTATTAGAAGTTAATTGATGATATCTATCCACAAAAAGAAATCATGTATTAATTCCACTATTAATAAAAATTTCATTTCATTTATAACATAATTATACAAAAAAAAAGATACTAAAATCCTCAGACACCAAGCCAATGCCTTCCTAAGTATGTCACACCTTCACCTCAGGCTTCTGCTCAAACAGACATCATTTCAATCGCATGTACTCCGATTCTCTGCTGGCCTCTTTTTTTCCTGTTATCGCAAATATGATTTTTTTATCAAGTCATTATCAAAGGAGAAGAAATAACTTTCAGGTTTATTTGCTGCATTCATTTGCTAGGGCTGCAATTAACAAAACACCACAGACTGGCTGGCTTAAATAGAACGTTATTTTCTCATAGTTCTTTCTATTTCTCACAGGCTGGAAGTTTAGCCAGGTGCTGATTGGGTTGGTTTCTTCTGAGGGCCACAAGGGAAGAATCTGTTCCAGGCCTCTCCTCACCTTGTGGCTGTCTATATGAGAAACTTTGTCCACACTTTGTGAAGCCATTCCTTTACTATACTTTCACTTTCCTTCACGCTAGGGAAGAGCACTAAGGAATAAACCTAAGAAGCAGGTCAGCTGCTTAAATGTGTGAGTTAGGCAGCAGGCGCTGCAGCAGCAAAAATCACAAGCACAGAAAGTTTAGATCCCATTACACAGAGGAGCAGAAGACAGACAAAGGAATGGGGGACTTGGGCTGTGGCTTGTAAGAGTCATTTGCAATTGTTATTAAATGCTGATTTTTCTCCCATCCTAAAGGTAATTGTTTAGTCATTAAGAAGCTACCTGTCTTCCAATTCACCTCTTTGGAAAAAAGAAACAAATGCAATTCTCTTAGGATTTTCAACATTGAAAATACGAAAATATTGAAATGATAAAAACTCCCTGGTCAATATGCTTCTATTTATTCTTCAATTAATAATAGAGCAATCTACAAAAAGGAATTTCTGCTCTAAAAGCCATTTAGGAAAGATGGAAAAAGTCTGAGATTTCCTTCCCATGAAATTACCCAACAACGGCTTCACAAGACTTATACATGTAAACAAGTTATTTCAAAATACAAGTACTGGGCTCAGCACCCATAGCTCAGGGGTTAGGGCACCAGCCACATGCACCAGGGCTGGTGGGTTCAAATCCAGCCCGGGTTGCTAAAAAAAAATAATAATAATAAAATAGCTGGGCATTGTGGCCGACACCTGTAGTCCTACCTACACAGAAGGTTGATGCAAGAGAATCACTTGAGCCCAAGAGTTTGAGGTTGGTGTGAGCTATGACACCATGGCACTCTACCCAGGGTGACATAGTAAGACTCTGTCTCAAAAAAAAAAAGGTACTGTTTTTTGACCAATAGATATATTCCTGAATAGATACATGTGTGTCCTAGTTTCATATACCCAAACTTTTTAAATGATGCTAAAAATTCCAAATGTAAAAGGAACAGTTAGGGATCCCATTTATAGAGGGAAAAAATCTTTTTATAGTGTGAATATTCACCAATTGTTTAGCTCTTTAAATTGTTATCTATTTGCTTTGATTAAATCAAGGTAAAATAGGATACACATATTCAATATTACAAAGACATAAATATAGGCAGTCCCCAAGTTACAAACAGCTAACTGACATACAACTCACATCTAGGAATGGAGGCTATTACAGATAACAGAAAAATGTACCTGTTCCAACTTATATACAAATTCAACTTAAGAAAAAACCTGCAGAACCTATGTCTTTCATAATTTGGGGACTAGCTATATATACTATATTAAGTGGCTCATACATTTAATAAAATATAGTTTCTAACGATCAAGACTTTAAAAACAAATATTTCTAAGTGTGTGTATGTGTGCATGTGATTATTTTTCTTCCTCCCTACCTGTGTTTTTCATATAGAATTAATGATTTAAAAAAATCAAATTCAAATGGGGGAGAAAAAAGGGGGAAAAGGAGAAAGGGAAGGAGAGAGGGAAATTGATAAGTTCTCAACTAAGGTGCTTAATGTAAGGGTATTTGGCACAAATTCTGGGTGAAGAGCTCAACTACAACTTGAACTTTAATTTACCTAAGAAATGCAAACAATGTAATCTAATCATTTGTACTTTCATGTTAATCTAAAATAAAAAAGATAATCTTCTGAACAAAAGTTAATTAAAAAATATAATTTTATATAAGTAACAGCTAGAAAAACAAGAAAAGACCCCTAAAAATTAATATGGTTATTACAAAAGAAAACCATTTTAATGTTTAAATATGCTTGTAATCTCACCATCCTATCTATTTTCACCTCTTTGCTCCCTTCTTGGTCTTTACCAACTAGCGTATTTTTGTGTATTTATATTTCTGTTTCTGTGCTTTTCACTAAACTCTCTTTTCTTCATTTTTACATTGTAATCATATTTTTATTGACTGCATAATAGCATAAAGAGTTAAGATACCAAAATAGACTACACCTTTTCTTCATCATTAAAAAACTAAGTTGTTTCCAGTTTCTTTCTCTTTCTTTCTTTTTTTTTAGACGGACTCTCACTATGTCACCTTCGGTAGAGTGCCGTGGCATCACAGCTCACAGCAACCTCCAACTCTTGGGCTTAAGCGATTCTCTTGCCTCAGCCTCCCAAGTAGCTGGGGCTACAGGTGCCCTCCACAACACTCAGCTATGTTTTGTTGCAGTTGTCAGCCCGAGTCCCTGTCCTGGCATTCTTCCAATTCTCATGACACCAACACCAATAGTTAATCTAATCCGCATAATCATTCACTTTTACGTCTTAAGACTCATTAGACCCTACAGACAGAGGCGATCAATAGATTAGGGTTCATATGTGATTCTCCATGCTACTGAGCCTATTCCAGTTTTGTATTTTGGGGACCATGCTTTAATTCTTACAATCAAGCCCTACACAACTTTTAAAAGCTATATAGTATCACTTACACAGTTAAACCATTAAAAGAAGCATATTCCTCAGCTGTGAATCCATAAATATCTTGACGAGATAGATCCACATCTTGCTGAAAAAGAATATTTACTAAACTTGTTGGTTCACCACTGATAGCAATCATAAGGGCTGTTCTGGAGCAAGAGATATAAAATATTAATAAATGTCCACTTATGGATCTTAAACATGTCTTTTTTTAGGTCAGTTGTTTCAATTTACTATTTAAATGTAGGATTTCTATCAGGAAAAGAGTCAAAGCAAGAATGTAAACAATAGGACAGATCTGGTCCAAAAAGTGTGCCAGTCACAGACCATATCACAGAGTCTGAAAATAAAGAGACTCTAGGAAGCAACTAGGTCACTGGTTTTCAATTTCTGCTCCATGGAATCCTAGTGTTTTCAAGAATATGTCTTAAGGGCAGTGCCTGTGGCTCAAAGGAGTAGGGCGCCAACCCCATATGCTGGAGGTGGTGGGTTCAAACCCCCAAAAACTGCAAAAAAAGAGAATATGTCTCAAAATTCTGTGAGAGAGAATGTCTGGCGCTTAGGTTCCCTACCCCCAATTACCTAAATCAGTTGGTCTTCTATATATGATGTAATGTATAAATAGTAACAATAATTAATAATAGTATTATAATAACCAACCAATCTGCTCCAAGTGTTTGATTTTGTAAATAGCAAAACAGATTCTGGGAGTCTAGGGAATTTGCCCAAAATCATTTGTCACATGGCCTTATATTTTCCCAATATCAAATATATATTTAATACAAATATATGTATTTCTTATCCTTTTAGGTAGCTGTAGTTATATACTCCCTTTCTTGGCTTTATTAATTATACCTTTGATTCTTATCTGTAGCATTCACATCTGCCCCTTTCATCAGAAGAAATTTTGCCATTTCTGCATTATTTTTGCTAACGGCAAGTAAAAGTGGAGTATACCCATCCTGAAAAAAAATTTCAAAATGATTACTTAAAAGACTATATTAAAGTTACACTCTGTTAGAGTTAAAAAGTAAATGGTTATAAGAAACCTCTGAATATGCACTTTAACTCTTAGAAGATTTTAATACACAACAAAAGATGATTTTAAAGATTAAAAAAAAAAAAGTCAGGGTTGGGCCAGCCAAAAATAATTAAAATTTCAATTTTAGGCTTAATTCAAATTGTGGGGAAAATCAGTCTAGAATAATCAAGTGAGGAGCAGCACAAATACCACCAATTCACCCTTCATAATGACATAATAGGTTTCCCCAGAATTTCATTTAAACCTCTAAGACTGACACTTATTTTGTACAATCATGTAGACAAAATAGCAGTAAACTGAAGTGTGTAGATGCCTTTTTTTAAAAAAAGTATTCATTAATCATCCGATGTCTCCATAAGAAAGTGTGATTACTTGTAATATAATTTGCCAATTCAACACTGTTCTTTTTATTGGTCATGAGTATATAAATAAAATAGAAAAAGGGTAAGCTTTATCATTTTTATCAACATCTATCTATAGGAGAATCAAAGTTTTCTCATTTGTTAAGGCCCTTTGCACCATTATCATTGCTAAGTATGATGTTAGTTTGGAGATCAGGACTACTACAGTCAGCAATGAAATGGAGGAAGACTGTAAAGGAAGAAAAAATTTTTTCAATTTTTGATAATCTCTTCTCCCCAATTTCAGTTTGGAAAATTCATTCTTTATATGCAATGTATTCCAATAGCTATTAGTTACCTGAAATAAATATCTTCTCTCTAAAATATACATTTTTTTTTCTTTAACAGGAACATACCTTATTTTTAGCTTCAAGATCAGCTTCATGTTGAAGCAACTTTTCAACTAATGAGACACTTTGACCACAGACAGCATAATGAAGAGCAGAATTATTAAGAAAATCCACCAGGTTTGGGTCTGCACCACAGTTTAGAAGAATATTAGCACAATCCTCCTTTTGGCACTGTACTGCCTGTCAATGCAATGAGAGTAGATGAGTCATCAATTTACTACTTAAGACATGACTCATATATTAAATTAATGCTGAATAATGTTTTAAACTATGAAAATCAACCAAAAATAAATAGGAGAACTCAAACACATTCAGATTGAAAAGATTAGAACGTACCTTAATCAATGGAGACCTGTTTTCACTATCCAGGACATTTATCTCACATTGTTTCTCAATTAGGAAATATACAATATTTACATGTCCATTAGCACAGGCGAAGTGCAAAGGTGTTCTATATCAATATAATAATACACAAAGTTAGAGATGAGTACTCACTGAAGAAATTACTTATTGTATATTGTTAAGGCATTTGCGTCATGCACTTAATTATATTAACACAAACTTTACACTAATTATAATTGCTTTTTACTAAATTTAAGAGGCCTTGAAGACCAAATATTTAACTGGTTTCACATCAAGGAAAATTTAATATAATGAGTTGAGAATAGGTTGGAAAAGATGATAAATTTGGTAATCACAATAACATTTAGAAGTTATAGTTGGTGGGTCTGCAAACTAGTACAACTTCTACAGAAAGTAATTCAGAGATACCTCAAAGAACTTAGACCAACCATCTGATTCAGCAATCCCACTGCTGAGTATATACTCAAAGGAAGAAAGGATACTTTATAAAAAGGGCACTTGCACTCAAACATTTATAGCAGAACAATTCACAAGGGCAAACATGTGGGAACAACCCAAGTGCCTATCAATACATGAATGGGCTACTAAAATATGGTATATGTATACCATGGAGAACTACTCAGCCATTAAAAATAAAAATGGTGATTGCCTATCTTTTGTGACAACCTAGATGAAAATGGAAATCATTCTTCTAAGTGAAATGTTACAAGAATGGAGAAACAAATACCACCCATACTCAGTACTAAATTGGAACTAATCAATCAACACTTATATGCATATATGGAAGTAAAACTCAATGACAAGGAGGGTGTGGATAAATTCACACCTAATGTGTACAGTGCACACTCCCTGGATGAAGGCAACACTTAAAACTTTGGCTCAAAACAAATTATACAACCAAAATACGTGTACCCTCTGATATTCTGAATTTTTAAAAAGAAACCAAAATCTATTTTTTAAATAAATTATACTTAAAACTTGAGATGCATCCAATCAGCAACAAGAGAAAAAGACATTGCCTATTTGATAGGATGCTACCCCTAATTGTGTGTTTCTATTTAGCCGTTAAAGTCAGGGCTAGCATTTGTATCTGACAAAGGAACATACAAGTCAAAGCCTAAGAACCTCTAAGTTGTAGATCTCTGCCTCATTTTAAGTTCTTACACTGATTTCTACTGTTAGAGAACCCTACTCTAGGTTGCCTACCAAAAACCAAGTACACATTTGTGAAATATGACAGAATACTAATTAACTTCATTTTAATTTGTGGTTTTTAGCCAGCACTAGATCTCATTAAACTGATATTTATTTATGAAAGTGATATCATTATATCCTTATCTTTAAATCATTTTATAATACGGAGTCCATATGTACATAGCTCATGTCCTAAACAAGAGAACTTAGCATTTCCCTGCTTCACTTTAGGTCCTCAGAAGTACTTTGTGGGTACCTAACCAAACCTGTTATTGACACATGGGAGTAGCAAAAAGGTAACCTTCAAAGATTTAAAAATAGGGTAACTTTCAAAAAATTAAACTGACAAAATTTATATACAGCAATACAACTATAAATCAAGAAAATATAAAAATAGTTTGGAACAATTTGGAAATGCTAAACTTCCAATCAAGTTTACCTGAATGTAATCCCTGGGAAGCAAGACTATATATAATATAACTACAATATAAAAAGCAGAACTCCAGGCTCAGTACCTGTGGCTCACATGACTAAGGCGCTAGCCACATACACCTAAGGTGGCCAGTTCAAATCCAGCCCGAGCCCGCCAAGACAACAATGACGGCTGCAACCAAAAAATAGCCAGGTGTTGTGGCAGGCTCCTGTGGTCCCAGCTACTTGAGAGGCTGAGACAGGAGACTTGCTTGAGCCCAGGAGTTGGAGGTTGATGTGAGCTGTGATGCCATGGCACCCTACCCAGGGCGAATAGCTTGAGTGTCTGTCTCAAAAAAATAAATAAAATAAAATAAAAATAAAAAAATAAAAAGCAGAACCCTGATCAATTTTATTATTCTCTAGCTCAATGGTTCTCAACCTTCCTAAGGCTGCAACTCTTTAATACAGTTCCTCATGTTGTGGTGACCCCCAACCATAATTTTTTTTTTTTTTTTGCAGTTTTTGGACAGGGCCAGGTTTGAACCCACCACCTCTGGTATATGGGGCCAGTGTCTTATTCCTTTGAGCCACAGGCACCACCTCATAAAATTACTTTTTAGCAATGAAAATTATTTTCTTGAGCAGGCATGAAAAACTACAATGTTTACAATATCATGCAAATCCTCAAGACAGTCTTGTAAAGAGGATTTTTACTTAGATTATTTGGCAAAGCCAGAGGCATTACCCTATCGGACTTCAGACTATAAGTCCACAGTAATCAAAACAGCATGGTATTGACACAAAAATAGAGACACAGAGGTTCAGAATCAAATAAAAAACCAAGAAATGTAGCCAGTTTCTTAAATCCATAAGATCTTTGATATACCCAACAAAAGTATACATTGGGGAAAAGAATCCCTATTCAATAAATGGTGCTGGGAAAACCAGATAAATCACAAGTAGAAGACTGAAACTTGACCATATGTTTTACCTCCTACAAAAATTCATTCCAGATACATAAAAGATTTAAATCTAAGGTGGAGAATGATAAAAATCCTAGAAGAAAGTATGGGAAAAACTCCTGAAGATGTTGACCTGGGGAAAGATTTTATGAATAAGACTTCTGTGGCAATTGCAAAAAAAAATTAACAAATGGCACTTCTAAACTGAAAAGTTTCTGCACACCTAAAAGCAAAACAACCAAAGCAAATAGACAACCTTCAGAATTGGAAAATATATTTGCATTTTACAAATCTGACAAAGGCTTGATAACTGGGATCTATAGAGAACTCTAATCAACAAAAAGAGCTAAGAATCCCATCTATCACTGGGCAAGAAACATGAACAGAACTTTCTCTAAGGAAGACAGATGAATAGCTAACAAACATATGAGAAAATGCTCATCACCCCTAGTCATCAGAGAAATGCAAATCAAAACCACCCTGAAATATTACCTAACCCCAATGAGAATGGCCCACATCACAAAATCCCAAATCTGCAGATGCTGGCATGGATGTGGAGAGAAGGGAACACTTTTACATTGTTGGTGGGACTGCAAACAATATAGCATTTTTGGAAGAAAATATGGGAATCCTTAAAAAACTCAAATTAGATCTCTCATTTGACTCTGCAGTCTCACCACTCGGTATCTACTCAGAAGAAAAAAAAGTCTTTATCATAAAGACATATGCACTAGATTGTTTATCGCAGCACAATTTACAATCACTAAGATGTGGAAACAACTTAAATCCCATCAACTCAGGGATGGATTAACAAACTGTGGTATATGTGGAACACTATTTAGCCATAAAAAATATGGTGACTTCACACCTTTTGTATTAACCTGGATAGAAACACATTCTTCTGTCTTTTTTTCTATTTTTTGGCCGGGGCTGAATTTGAACCCACCACATCTGGTATATGGGGCCAGCAACCCACTCCTTGAGCCACAAGTGCCACCTGAAACACATTCTTCTCAATAAAATATCACAAGAATGAAGAAGCAAGAATCCAATATACTCAATACTAATATGAAGCCAGTAGATGATCTAATTCATGCCCACATTGGAGAAAAATTTATTTCAATTAAAGTTGGGAGGGAGGGAGAACAAGGGAGGGGGAGAAAGATGAGGGGTTTGGGTTGCTCCCACTGGATGGACACAATGTAGGGGTATATGGCATAACTTTGGGTGTAAGTCATAAATAAAAGTGGGACTCTACCTAACAAATTCAAATATTGTGATTTGGTTGTTTGTATACTCACATTAATCTGAAAGTTTAAAAAAAAAAAAAAAGAAAGTACAATCTAGAAGTAGCTTCAATTTGACAGATCAGGAAACTTAGTATCAAAATTATACAGATGCAGAGAAGGCCTCAAACTCAGATGTTGACTCTCAAAACAATGCTTTTCCTACTTGGCCACTGTGACATCCTGAGCAACCAACCTCCTCAGGACTGAAATTTCTTAACCAGAAATTTTAACTTGTAGAATGATTGTTTTTACTGGAAAACATATATAATTATTTCTACAAGGCCTGCATCAATATGCACATATACTTCCATGAGTTTTCAGAGACCTTTTAAAAATGAGTCATTAAACATCCATTAAATACTTAATTTACCATTTTAAAAATTCAAATGGCATAAATAAGCACCCAATGACCATCTCAATCTACCCACTCTGCCCTACTCAAACTTTAGCTCTTTTCAGAAATACCAAACTTAACTTTAGTAAAAATCCTTTCAGAGCTTCTATCTCTCTCATTTTCGGTCTCTCTCCTTTTCCCCCATGCAAATATTCAAATAAAAATATACAATTTTAGACTTTTGTATTCAGCTTTGTGGAGGTATAATCTATACATACATATAGAAACATTTAAATGGATGATTTTATGAGTTTTGACCCTATACAGTCATATAACCCCTACTATAATCATGGTAAAGAATATTTCCATTACCTTTAAAAGTTCCCTCAAGCTTTACAGTCATTCCCTGCTCTCTGCATCTAAAACTGCTGATAGCCACTAATCTGCTTTCTGCTACTATACTTTAAAGGTCAGTAGTATTCTATATTAATAGACTCTTTTGTGAATGGCTTATTTCAACTAGCATAATGCTTTTGAGATTCATCCACGTTGTTCCATATATCAGTAATTCATTCCTTTTATTGCTGGGAGCTCTGGCTTCCCAGAGATTCTTGCCAGTCTTGAAGCACTAATAATGTTCAGCACAATCTAGTTGCCCAGACAAAGAACAGAAGTAGGAGCTTGAAGTGGTAGAAACCATTGATCTACCCTCTGTTTAGCAAAAGGCAATTGCATGAAAACTCTCAGCTCTCAACTTCTACCATTAGAGAAAAGAGTTGATCTGTGTGTCCAGTGCCCCAACTGCTCTGGTGCTGCTCAAAGAACCAGCATCTTTCTCTCTAGTCCTGAAGCTCTGACAAGTCCAGAACAGTCCAGACACCCAGGGGAGAATGGAGATGACAACCTGGACTGATAGTTGCTACTGATTCTCCCCCTGTCCAACACAAAACAAGCAGACAAAACATCACAGCTGTCAGCTTCTCCCTGGGGAAGATACAAGCTCCTAGAAGCCCAGGACAGGTGTATTGGTGGGATCTTCTCCCTTACGTGGCTAATCCATTCAAACTGAAAGAGGTTCCTTCCTTGTCTGGTGCACAGACACCAACATGAGGAGTCAAGAAAAATGAAAAACCAAATAATTATCTTCCAAAATAACCCACGATAAACCTCCAGAAATCAGGCCTAATAAAATTATGACTTCCTTATAGAGAATTGAAAATAACTCTAAGAATTCAAGAGAATATGCTGGAACAAAGTAAAAATTCCTTTTTAAAAAATGTTCAGATTAATAGGGGTGGGAGGTACATTGTCTGTGTTGTAAGGTAAAGTCCAAGTTGTAGGTGAGTGCTTTCAAAGTGAATACTCCAGCAGAGACAGAAGATCTTAAAAAGCACCACACAGAAATCACAGAGTTGAAGAACACAATAACCTAGCCAAAAGATGCCCTCCTCGTGGTTCAAATCAAGCAGAATTAAATCAAGCAAATTAAATCAACCAGAAGTTAATGCAAAGACAGGTTCATGGAAATAATTCAGTCAGAAAAGTAAAAAAAAAAAAAAAAGAAAAAGAGTGAAGATAGCGTAAAGCTATCTGGGACACTGTCAAGCAAATGAGTATAAACAATATGTGGGCGGCACAATATGTGCTACTGCCCACCATAAAAGTTGCATATGTTTTGGCAGTTTAAGTTTTGATTCACCAATTAGTTCAAATGCCAGTTTTGAAATAGCCATTGTGCTCTCAAGTGTGCCAAGACAGATCTATATACTGTACTTGTTACAGAGCTGACTTAGGTATTCAGCTACATGAAAGACCCTCTGTGCAGTCCAGCTCAACAGCAATTCTGAGTCTGGGAATTCTCAAAGTCTCCCATAAACTAAACATAACTGAAGTAAAGTCAGGGGTATAACAGAAGCTATATAGTTCATTGCATTGTATCAATGCCCCTTTGGGCTATGAAGAACCTTTGTGACTTGACTAGTTCAATGGTAATGAACGTGGCTGGTAAATCCACTGTGTAGCCTATTCACCATATTATCCTAGAATCTAACACACTGCTTCCTTTATTTATACAGTTGTTACATATATTTGCAGCATGTATTTGTTTACAAGATGAATTCAGAGCTAAGAAAACTGGTGGTAAAGAATGTGCAGCAAACAGGAAAAAAAATCTTCTGTCCAAATAAGGTTGTTTATTAAATATTAACAAAGTCAGTAGGTTTCTTTTTTCCCATGTATGAGTGATAATAGACTTTTTGTTTTTATTGTTTGGGATTCATTGAGGGTACAAAGAATTATGTTGCACTGATTGCATTTGTTAGCTCAAGTCCCTCTTATAATTGTGTTCCACCCCCAAGAAGCGTCTCACATACCTGGACCTCCCACCCCCCACCTCTCTCCTCTACTCCACCCTCATTCCCCTACCCCACACCTTTTATTAGCTCGTCTACTGCCTTCATATTAGAATTGAGTACATTGGATTCTTGCTTCTGCATTCTTGAGATGCTTTACTTAGTTTCTTTTGTTTAAAAAAAAAAAGTTACTTGTTTTAGTATTTTGAAGTCTTAAAATCTTAATAACTGTTCTGGGTGGTTGCCTCTACTCTCCCCCCGTTCTTCCACTAGTAAAATAGTAAATTTCACACGTCTTGGACAAAAATAAAATATGAAGATGGGGAAAGAATGTTGGGCTGGTGAAGATTAAGATGGTGGGAGGAGGGGACAGAATCAGGAAGAGCGAAAATGCTCTCAAACACGCAGGTAAGCGCTTAAAAAAATAATTAAATAAGAAGCCGAGATTTGGAGTGTGGCTGTGCCAGTGGTGACCTATCCTTCTGCTCTGGAAAACCCGGAGTGATAACCAGCGTGGAGTGGCCCAACGTGGCTGGTATCCCGGCGGGCGCAGCGAAGCCCCAGCTTCCCCACCCCGGCTCTTCAGCTCTAGTTACCTATATTCCTTGTCCCGCACGTTCACATCTTGTTTTTTGACCTGGAGGCACTTGGTCAGCTTCTCCAGATCCCCTGCTAAAGCAGCTTTGTGAACTTTCTTTAAATCTTTGTCCTGAAGGTGGTAGCCCAAGCCCATGGGCAGGTCGGAGGAGGGAGGGCTGGAGGACTCATTCTTCCTCCTCCAGAAGTGGAAAAGCTTCTTCATGGCGGTGCAGGCTGCAGTCCTCAGGTGGAACAAGGACGTTTCTGGGGCTCCTAACCGCCCGTCTAGCTTCTCAGCCTCAGGCACGTGGTTGGCTACCCCTCGAATTCCTGACTAACGACAGGTGCAGAGACCAGAACAGGCTGGGCTCCCTTACCCTGCCAAACCCACACCCGCTGAGCCCTGCATGAGCCCTGCATGAGCCCCAAGCAGCCATGGATGTGACCTGGTCCCAGGGACTCCCAGACTTGAATTCTCATCCACGACCTTGGCCTGAATGACATGCTAGTAATCTTCCTATTAGATCCTGAGCCTTTGAATAGAAACTTAATAGCTTTCTTGCAAATAGTCCCTTCTCCAAAGATGGAGCTAATGGATGGAACTCCTGCAAACCAGGATTGACCTTCCTTGTGATGGTCAAAAAGCTCCTCCTGTGATCTTGCCTCCAGCCTTCTACCAGTTCTCACCACCCTCATCATACACTACAAGTCACCATTAACAGTAACCTCAATACCTCCATTATCTCAATTTCAAATTTAGTTTTCAAACCCCAGCTCTTACACTGCAGTTCACCTTATCTAGTCACAAAACTCCGTAAGTCTTTTGAAAATTGAACTCACTGCATGTATAACTCCATTGATCCTAATCACCTTTCCCTAACCTTAACCACCCCATGCTGTATCCTTACTTCCCTACTCAGCTAGATTAAATACCAAGGTCAATCCTTTTAATCACTCCCATGCATAGACCTTCAATTAATTTGCCCTCCTTCCATTTCTTCCTTATCTCCTAAACTAAATCCCTAGTTAAATCTAAACTCTTTTTTTCTGCTCAAAGCCACTGAACGTGAGCAAGGGGAAAAACACAACCATGCTGTCATCTTTCCTTTTGATTTTATGAAAATCCACCTCAAGTGGTCTGTTATTTTTCCCAGTAATCTTTTGATATTTTCCTGGTCCATTCACACTCTCACTTTCCTTCACCATTTCCTACCTTCTTTCTCTGTAAACCTCCTTGGTTTAATGACCTTTCTGATCTATGGACAAAGAGAGTCAATCAGAAGAAAATTCTAGTCTCCTCAGATATCTGTCCTCTTATGTGCACCTTGCCAGTTCACATAGGTAATATAATATATTCAGTTTCCTAGCAAAAACCAGCCACCACTCTTACATGAACTAGACCCCATCCTCTCTAGGCTATCTAAGGACATTGTTCAGGAAACCCTTCTTCTCTGTTTCCTCATATATCTTTAAAGTTTTCCTCTCTTTTAACTAATTCTTATTTGCATAAATACATATTAGTATTTGTTCCATCCTAAAAAATCAAACACATATATTGAGCACAATTCCTCCTGCACCCTTTGTCTCAGTTTCTCTTCTCTCGGCAAATTCATTACGAGAATTGTCTATTACCTGTCATTTGATCCTACAGTTCCTCTACTAGATGTATATCTAGAAGACCAAAAATCACATTATAACAAAGATATATGTACCAGAATGTTTATTGCAGCCCAATTCATAATTGCTAAGTCATGGAAGAAGCCCAAGTGCCCATTGACCCATGAATGGATCAATAAATTGTGGTATATGTACACCATGAAATAGTATACAGCCTTAAAGAAAGATGGAGACTTTACCTCTTACATGTTTACATGGATGGAGCTGGAATATATTCTTCTTAGCAAAGTATCTCAACAATGGAAGAAAAAGTATCCAATGTACTCATTCTTACTATGAAACCAATTTATAGCTTTCTCATGAAAGCTATAAATGAATTATAGCCCAATAAGAAGGGAAAAGAGGATAGGGGAGGATAGGAGGAGGGAAAGTAATTGGTGGGACCACACCTATGGTGCATCTTACAAGGGTACTTGTGAAATTTACTAGGTGTAGAATATAAATGTCTTTTTCTTTCTTATTTTTTATTTTTTTTTTATTGAATGGTAACTATGTACATTAATGCACTTCTGGGGTACAGGTGGGGTTTTCACATGCAATCTGAAATACTTCCATCAAACTGGTCAACACAGCCTTCATGTCATTTTCTCAGTTATTGTTTTAAAACATTCACATTCTACTGAATATAAATGTCTTAACACAATAACTAAGAAAGTGCCCTGAAGGCTATGTTGACCAGTCTGATTGAAAGCATTTCAAATTGTATGTAAAACCAGCACATTGTACCCCATGTTTGCATTAATATACGCAGTTATGATTTAATAAAATAATTTTTTAAATTTTCTATTATTTTATAATCTGTCTATAATTTTTCTTCCTTTATTCTCCCTTAAAGCACTTCTCATCATCATCTTTTTGCTCCCATCACTCAACTAACACTGCTTTTAAGCAAAATTGGCCATGATCTCTATCATACAAAATTAAATCGCTATTTCTGAATCTTTAGGCTAATAAAGCAGCATTTGACACAGGTGACCATTACTTGAACCTTGAAATATTTTCTTCACTTAGCTTCCAAGATATCACACTTGCCTGTTTGATTCCTATCTTTCTATTCATTTTTTTTTTTCAGTCTAGTTTGTTGGCTCCTCTTTATCTCTAATGTTGGAGAACCTCAAGATCAGTCCATCAACAGATCTATCTTTTTCCAAATCTTGGAGACTTTCTTAAATCTTATCTTTTACAATTACATTTATCAATACTTTAGTTTATACCTCTTCTGCCAGAAAATCCTGTGAACTGTAACTGCAAAATATATCCATAATTTATTTTATTTTTCCCCCTACCTATATTCACTTCTTGGCAATCTCATTCAATCCCATGGCTTTATATGCCATCTATATGCTATTGACTCCCAAACTGAGAGCTCCAGTCTGATCCTTCTCTGAACTCAGACTGGCACATCCAGTTGCCTATTTAACACCTGCATTTTGCTGTTTATATTATAGAGTTTACAGGCATCTCACACTTAACATGTCTAAACTGGCCCTGTGATGTTCCACACTCTCACTGTCATACTTGAGAACAAGTAACTCTATTCTTCCAGTTGCTCAGGTCAAAAGGCTTGATGATATTCTTTACTTTTCTCTTGCTCAAAGGCCACATCTAATCCGTTAGCAAATTCTTATCGACACGAAGCAGAACCTCTGTAACTTAAGTTTAGCACCTAAGGGAATGTAAGAAACTGTTCAACATACGGAGGAGGTCAACATTAGGAATCTACTGTACTGATACATACATGTGGTTGGTCCATGTCCAGTCTATGAAAATCAAGTCAACTTAAAGAGGTGTTTACTGTAGGGATCTGGTCAGCTATGGAGGTTCTACTGTATTTCCAAAATACATGCATCATTCGACTACTACTATTAGTGTAATCCCAGCCAACATGATCTTTTTCATTTGTATTACCTTACTTTAATACTTTATAGTAGAATCCTGACTGATCTTCATGGTTCTGCTCTTAAACACTGTTCTAGCCTTGATGTATTATTCTCAACCAGCAGCCTGAATTACCCAGAAAGTATCTGCAGATGACATCATTTCTCTGCTAAAATTTCTCCAATGATTCCCAATAATCCACAGGACCTTATACAGTCTATGACTGCAATTTCCCCATATTTCAGCTTTTACTTCCCTGACTTCAAGTCCTTCCTCTTCCCCAAATTCACATTGTTTCAACTACAGTGATGTCTTTGTTCCCAGCACATTAGACATGTTCCTGTCTCAGAGTCTCTGACCTTGTTTCTCCTTTTTCCTGGATTTGTGGTCCTGCCATCATAAAACAATCTACAAGAAGGTAGCTGTTTTTATGTGCTTTATTCCATGCTACTTTTCAATGCTCAGAACGGGGCTTGACACTTTAAGTGCTAGCAAATGTTTGCCAAATAAATGGATAAAAATAATAGTCTCTGCACCTATTTGCCTTTTGAATTCTTTGGTACAATGCAGGGAAAACCAGGTTGTGGTATTTAATAAAAAACAGAGTGCCAGATTGGAATGCGACTACAGAATTTACTTTTAAAAAGTAAAAAGTTACAGTAAACTAAAGTTAATTTATAAATGAAGAAAGAAAAATATTTTTCTATAAATTTAATGTAGTCTAAGTGTACAATGTTTATAAAGTCTACAGTGGAGTACAGTAATGTCCTAGAGGCTGAAGTATACAATGTTTATAAAGTCTACAGTGGAGTACGGTAATGTCCTAGAGGACTAAGTGTATGGTATTTATAAAGTCTACAGTGGAGTACAGTAATGTCCTAGAGGACGAAGTGTACAATATTTATAAAGTCTACAGTGGAGTACAGTAATGTCCTAGAGGACGAAGTGTACAATATTTATAAAGTCTACAGTGGAGTACGGTAATGTCCTAGAGGACTAAGTGTATGGTATTTATAAAGTCTA